AAGAAGCTGGCATATTTGATAAGAAGCTGGCATATTTGATAAGAAGCTGGCATATTTGATAAGAAGCTGGCATATTTGATAAGAAGCTGGCATATTTGATGAGAAGCTGGCATATTTGATAAGAAGCTGGCATATTTGATGAGAAGCTGGCATATTTGATAAGAAGCTGGCATATTTGATAAGAAGCTGGCATATTTGATGAGAAGCTGGCATATTTGATAAGAAGCTGGCATATTTGATAAGAAGCTGGCATATTTGATAAGAAGCTGACATATTTGATAAGCTGGCATATTTGATTGGAAGCTGGCATATTTGATGAGAAGCTGGCATATTTGATGAGAAGCTGGCATATTTGATAAGAAGCTGGCATATTTGATGGAAAGTTGGCATATCTGAGAAGCTACAGCATAATGATCACCAATGTAAACTTATTTGAGAAAAAGAAATAGACATTTATTCATGCCAATCAACATGCCTGCATCACCTCTTGGTGGTTCGTCTCCATATCGCTCGTCACGAGTCTCTCGTCGATTGTACGAACTTTGGCCATCTCGCCTGTCGTAGCCATCTCGTCTGTCGTAGCCATCTCGTCTGTCATATCTATTCCTATCATAGCCACCACGATCATCTCGTCTATCACCATAATCATCACGCCGTTCACTATCACCGCCTCTTCTCCAGTCATCGTCAGATTCATTGCGATCCCCACGGAAACCAGTCCCGAACGTTCTTCTCCCATCTCTCCTGTCATCGAATCCACCTAGAAACAAGGAAATATAATTCAGTTTAAAATTTGTTAGCGAAAAAGTGGTATTTAATATATAATCTTCAAACATTGGTGACGAAGTGTAAATTAATTCATGTTTGACATACCTCCTCTGTCATTATAACCACGGCCGCCATCATCATATCTGCCTCGATCTCGAAAACCACCGCGGTCACCTCCATATCGGTCATCTCGACTGTACCCTCTATCATTTCCTGTGAACAATAGACAACAAAATCGACTTGAAAAAAATGATTGACATCTAACACACACATGGCAGACAAGCTGGTAAAAATGTGCTGTGAACTCATACTAAAAAGTACAACTAATTGCAAGACAGTTTTCATCCAGAATTTCGTGTATTGTTTGCGGCGACATAGATGCCAATACCGGTACCTAAAACCTTGTGTGGTTTTGATTAGTTAGTTGCACTACTTCTCGTGCTGCATAAATCTCCAAGTGAAACAGACCCCAAACCGCTGAGACACAAGCCAGGATGTTCAAAGTACCATCTTAAAAGTTAAACAATATGAAATGCAGAGTTTCATGAGTGTTAGTAAACATATAAAGAAAGTCATGTGACCAAAAACAGACTATAGTGAACTGGTTATGCATGGCTATTGTGTCAGCCACTAACCGTAATCATTATAACCGCCTCTACTCCGGCCGCTGTAACGATCATAATCATCATTTCGGCTGTAACCGTCACGATTTCTATCACTATCATACCTATTGTACCCTGGAAAAGAACGGAACCAGACAAGTTTTACTTTTTAGAAAAACATTCTCAATCGATACTTGTTTTTTCAGCGTCATCTGATTTATAATTACAGAAATAGTTCTCCATATATCTATTTATCCCATCGCAACTTAGCAGGTAGGGTAGATTAGAAGAACAAGTATTTGCTCTATTAGGATTTATAGAGACACAATGAACCAAAAAGATTTTTTGCAAGATTTTAATACAAAAAAATTGCACAAATTCATTTAGAGTTCAGCCCAGCAATCTCTGGGATTGCACTAGTGTATCATGGGAAATGTAGTTTTTAAGACCACCTCTCCCCTATCGTTACCTGATGTGTTAATCTGTACACTAACAACTTGCATACAGGCTTGTCTGCTTTTAAAGGACATAATGACATACACACTTTGATTTAAAATTAATATGAAGACTTGCAAATAGAGAGCGATAGCAGATAAGCGATAGCAGCTGTCCTGTTGTCCTGGACAGCCACCTTTGGCATGGCGCAAACAAATATGAAAACTGCTGGCCCACTGTGACAACCATGAAAATAAATAAATACAGAAATCACAACAACATAGTATTAGGAAATTTCAACTTTCTTTTAAGCAGTTGTATGAAAATCCAACCTTAAAATGTCTGTGTTTATTTTGTGAAAGATGATGTCATTTGATTTTAATATCATTCAGTGGGTTGAACACAAAACCATAATTGATAGATTTCTGCTCATGAGTAGGCCAAAAACATAATTTATTGTCAATTGCCAAACGAGTAAACTAAAATAAAAAATGTAATCTATATATCCACTAAAAAAAAATAATTTGGTCATTGAAAAAGAGGAATTTCGAAATGCATCATCATTGAGTGTTATTTGCATACAGAAATATGGTTGTCATTTTTCATTTTATAAACCTACACCCAACTGTTTTGACAGCTCATTTAAGTAAGTGCATGCACTTATAAAGCAAATACTTTCCTGTAAAGAATATGGATTATGTGTAAATTCAGGTACGCTTACATCAGTGATGACGGACATCATAAATTCTATTGAGCAAATAAGCTGATGGCGATAATTAACATGATATCAGACACACCAGAAACCCACAAGTTCTCTGTTTTTTGTTGCTGGAGATAAAAACACCACATTTGGGAAGTAACAGAAACAAGGTATACAAGTCATTTCAATGACATAATCCCTGCTAAGTGTTTAGTGATTGTGTCAATTATAAACAATAGAAGATGTAGTTAAATTATAAACAATAGAAGATGTAGTTAAATTATAACTAAATGAGTGGAGAGTATACAGTCAAGAACATCACAATGAGAGAACAATTGAGTAAATTCAGACTTGGCAATCACTGTCTCAAAATCTAAAATGGGCAGACATACAAAACCTAAAACTGACAAAAGAATTTGTGACTTGTGTACTGCTATGAAAATTGAAGACTAGACACACTTCGTAATGTCATTTAAAAAATACAAACAGCAAAGAAATTTACTTTTTGACAACGCAGCTGTTTCACTGTTTTGACGAAAACCAACAAATTCTCCACAATAATGAGTTTCGATATATATAACATCTCATAACACCGTTTTAGCAAAGTACATAGAAAAATATTTATGTATAAGACAGCAACATCCAGACCGAACATAATAGGCCTAGTTTATATAAAAAAAAAATGAAATTAATCAAAATAACCCAACCCTCCTTGTTATGTCCAAATTCCCATTATGCCATTTTCTGCTAAAATACTTAACCCTTATTTCTTATTTGTGTAGCTTTATAGTTCCTAGTCGTACTGAATTTTGTATGTCTTAGTTTTAGTTTTTTCTTTTTTAAAACCATATTGCTGTACCTTTCTGTGTCAGTGTTGTGTCAATAAAATATTATTCAGCATGTTAAAATACCCAGGTTTTGTTCAGTCAATGTGAAACCTCCTAAGAATGAAATCATTCTATATCCTACAAAATTGTATAATCCGCACATAAACCAGTTGGACATTTTGTATCACATAAAAAAAACACAAAAAAAAAAACACAGCATGTGTGTCATTTATACCAAAATCTGCTAAAAGCATTATGAGATATAGTTCAAGACACCTGAAAATAAAACCAACATGGCTGCCAGTCATCCAGTTTTAAATCAAATCACAAAATGTGCATCAGTGACTCACGGTGTGTGTTCATACAAAGTTTGAATGAAACTGACACAGGCATGCCTCAAAAACAGTTTGACATTTTTTGGGATAACAAAAAAAACAACAAATCAAGGTGCCAATGTATACAATTATATTGTCTTTGTACCTATATCGATCAAAATGGTCTAAGCATGTCCAAAAATGGTTAAGGGCACAAGAAATTACACCAACAAGGCCGTCTGTCAGCCATTTTGAATCAAATGACAAAACAAACTGAGCATCACGAACTGACCATGAGTGATGTCAATGCCTAGTTTGAATGAAAACAATACACACACCATGTACAGGCATGTTGGAGAAACAGTTTATGACATTTTCTAAGGTCACAAGAAAGTCACAAAACAAACTGAAGTGCAAAACTATCCCATCATAAGTGATGTTCATGCAAAGTTTGAAATATATCAGCCTAAGCACGCCTGAGAAAGTGTTGATGACATGTTTAAATGTTGTGATTTTATTGTTTGATAAAAGTGGCTACCACTCAGTAAAATAGCATTGAAATCCAAAAATATCTCTTAGAAATGGGCAGAAGGCGAGTAAAAAAAACAAAATGGCCATCAGTCATTCATTTTCAATCAAATCAAGAAACACAAAATATAGTACATCAGTAACTTACTATGAATGATGTCTATGCCAAACTTTAATGAAATTGAACAAGCTGAGAAATAATTGATGGCACCAGTTGGTCAAAGGGCAATCAAATAAAAAACAAATCCATGTGTATATGTATCTCCTAATGACATTCTTTGAACCAACTTTGAACAAAATCCATGCATGAAATGACGGACACATGCAGGTGCAGATGGATAAATGGAACTCAAATCCCAAGTCCCGGCTTTTTTGACGAGGATTAATGAACCATGCATGAATGTTAGTACAAAGATGTGACCAAAAACAGACTATAGTGAACTGGTTATGCATGGCTATTGTGTCAGCCACTAACCGTAATCATTATAACCGCCTCTACTCCGGCCGCTGTAACGATCATAATCATCATTTCGGCTGTAACCGTCACGATTTCTATCACTATCATACCTATTGTACCCTGGAAGAGAATGGAACCAGACGAGTTTTACTTTTCAGAAAATCATTCTCAATAGACACTATGTGATTTATAATTACAAAAATAGTTCCCCAAATATTTACCACACCGCAACTTGGCAGGTAGATGTTTGATTTGAAGAACAGTATCTATTTACACAATGAGCCAAAGTGTTTTTGCAGGATTTTAAGTACCACAAACTTGCACCAATTCATTTACAGTGCAGCCCTGCAATCTGCGGCACTACACCAGTGTAACACAGGAAATGTAATTTGAAAGAACAAATCCCCCCCCATCGTTACCTAAAATGTTAATTCTGTATGGTAACATCTTGCATACATGATTGTCTGACCAGACGCATTATCACAGAGAGTTATTTGCATACTGAAATCTGATCGCAATCTTTCCTTTTACAACTGTTAACAGCTCATTTTGTAAGCTTGTATGCTTCTTTTGCAGGATATATCATACTGTAAAGAATTTAGATTTTTGGCAAATTTGTGTATGCTTAAGTCGGTAATGATGAACACTTCTAAAAAGCCAATAAGCTGTTAGCGATAATTAACATGATACCAGACACAGCAGAAACCCACAAGTTATAGGACATTAGATTGAAAAGCACAAGAGAAGGCACCAATGTATAAGGGATAGCAATATCAGAATAAAACAAGCAACGGAGATTCAACCAAGAATGTTAGTCCATGTACAAAGAAGTAAAAAAACAGACGACAGTGATGGCATTGCATGGCTATTGTGTCAGCTAATAACTGTAACAATATAACGATCATAGTCATTGGATCGGCTATATCGGTCGTCATAACGATCGTAACTATTCCTACTATAACCTGTAACCTGGGGACAAGGCTGAAATGTCATAGTAGGAGTTTGGTAATGCAAGCCTTATTCTCATTATAGTACAAATAATATGAAAAGTTACAGCAATTATAGGGTGACTTTAATCCCAGGCTACAACATTCAAGTGGAATCTTATACACGTATTCACCACCAGTCATGTGTATGTGTCCCTAATTTTATGAATGAAAGAAACTGAAAACATACAATCTGACGATAAATCAAGCACAGAATCCAAATTAATGAATACAGTAGCCAGGCTGCCATCCAGTTAAGTTTACTCTGTACTTTTTGCTGAAATGGCATGGCTAGTGAATACTGACCATAGTCATTATACCCGCCGCCGCCGCCGCCGCCTCGACTTCTTCCTCCAGAACGATCATAGTCATTGGATCGGCTATATCGGTCGTCAGGACGATCGTAACTATTCCTACTATAACCTGTAAGAGAATGGAACCAGAGCATGGCTCACCATTTCACGGCTTGACGTATATGAAGCATCGACAACAATATACATGTAGATGGACAACCAAATTATGACAACTACTATGACACATAGAAGAGAGCTACCAAGAACCTCTTATCTGAGTCAAAACATGGATACAATACAGTGACATCTAATGTATAAGTTCATCTTGCTATCATGTCCGTACCTTGATCACGATCATCACGGTAACGATTATCACCTGGTGGGGGGCCAGGAGGTACTTCATCTGGAGCTCTTCTCCAATCACCTTCAGTTCGGTCTGGTCCCATATCTCTACCCATACCTCTTTCACCTCCCTCTGAAAGTAAATAGCAATAGGTGATTTTCTGTTCACCACAAGATCTCGCGTATTGCGAGGTAAAAATGGTCTTGTCAATGGATAGGTGTATTAGATTGAAGCTTTAACACTTTAAGCGCTATAATCGATTTTTAACTATTTTTCTATAATTTGGAAATAGATAAGAATTACATGCTATTGGCTTCAGATCTTGATCAAATATGGAAACAATTAAGGATGTAGTAGACTTTCGTTGGGCAAAACAGAAAAAGCTTGATAAAAATAATAATAATGATTAATGACTAACAATTTTTACATGTTATTGTAGCCCTTTCAACACTCTATCCAAAAATTATGATAACACTAATGTCAACATTAATTACGTCACGTGACTGCTAAATAAACAAAATCGATTGTTCTGCTATTTTTACTGCTACTAGAAAACGCAAACAGTTAGCCAACATATTTTTATGAGAAAAGGAAGACTACAATGTTCTTAACAATAATGTAAATAATTGTTTTTACAAAGTGGTGGAGAAGAATTCTGCAATAAATTAGAGTGCTCTCTTTTCACAGGTCAATTAGTAATGAAATATTCCTGATACTTGAAAAATATTTAACATTTTGTTTTCAATTGATCTTGAGTTCAATCTCTGAAAAAATCAATGAAATCGGACAAGAACTGTTCACGTAATCGTGATTTTTGTGGTTTTAGACACGTTACGTTTCAAATGGCTGAAAAGACTCAAAAACCAAAAGTAGCACAGTCAGATATTTTCTGTTCAGCGCATCGTATTCAGTTATTTTTTGATCTTTAAGATAGCTATTGTGTTGGTTTTATAAAAATCAAAACAACCCGTTCGGTACATGGCCGATAAAGTTATGAAAAAATCGATAATTTGAAAAAAGCAACGTGAAAACAAAGTATGGCCGCCCTTGAATAAACAGTGTAATCCCGTTATCAATTTAAGTTTATTTGCTTGACAAGCTTAGTTTCGAGTGTTATACCATATCACAACAAACTTGGCAATTGTTTATGTACAAAACTTGAACACTGTCGCTCTTTCTCGCAACTTTCTCATAAGCCACGGCGAAAATGTCATCAGAGCAGAACTACATAATGAGATGCGAGTACTCGGTAAAGCTACGCTTTTTATTTTTTACTAAATATCGGCGATGACACTTTTGTTGTTGAATATCAATTAAAAATTCGTAATTGAAGTAAAAAAGGGATCTACTATTTGCTGACTGAATCGCTTGGAAGCAAGTCAGTCAAGCTTGCCAACAGTACTGCCGTGAATTACAGGTCGTCGTTTTTGCTCTATAACTCGTTACAATCGGAGTTTCGTTTAGTTTAGTTTTGTCGACTTGCAGTACGATTGTTATAAAATTATTACCAGCACAAAACAGTTTTCATTTCCAAGAGCTCAGAATGTACGTGTAACTGCTTTGTCTACGAACCACCGATGTGTCACTGAAATTTGAAAGTCAGTCTGCCGTCCCACATGACACAATGGACCTGATTAGTCTATTTTTGACTACCTCGTATTCTTAGCCAATACGCGTGCATGTGCTATGTTTGAAAGGCCGCATGTGCACCGGAGACTAAAGTGAGATTTCCAGCCATAACGAGATTCTTCATGGATATTTATTTTTCCCTTTTTACACCGAG